AAAATCTATTTAAATTTCTCCTTAACATGCCAGCCTAAATGGTAATGGGCTGTGTTCTGGTCTGGCAGGCAGAGCTTGTCAGCTAGCCAGTTTCTTAGAAGGAAAATTGTGAGAAAACTCTGAGAAATGGTGCAGTAACAGAGCCTTGCCCCAGCCCAGCCCCAGTGCTCTCTCTGTTCTGGAGGGGTCACACCTCAAGGCTTTCAACAGAAATACATCAGGGCATGCATCTTTAATAGCATGCCTCCAAGTAACTCAATAGGAGTCAAACATCCATTTTTAAAACCAAAGTGAGGGACAAGTAACTGATGTCTGGAAATGTGGATGGAGCTCTACCAGTGGAAGCAGAGGCTCTCCTGGGATATATTGCTCGGATTTTTGGAGATCTCAGCTGCAAGTTTTCTTTCTCACAGTGTCTTCTCTGCTCTAAACAGCAGCTGTCAAGCAGTACTCCAGTGCCCATGCAAGCTCCTCTGAGTGTCTTACCTTTCCAATTGCTTTGCATCAAGTTAAACTATATACTTAATAATTTTGGGAGATTTCTTGGCCACCTGAGTGCTGATGAGTAGGACAGTGCATTGCTTGATGTAATTGGGCTCAGTACCACTGAATGCAGCAAAGCAGCACCTGTACACACTAACTGAGGACTTCTCTGCATCCCTCTCCCAAGCACTCCCTCTAACCCTCTGCTTCTTTTCAGCTTTCAGAAAATCCACAAGTTTCCATCCAGCACTCCTCTGCCATGGGGACCAGTGTGTGGAGCCATGGCAAGCTGCCACTCCCTTGTGGTTCTGGATAAAAAGATACAAGGAGACCCACTGGACCTGAAAATGTTTGAGGGCACACACTGGGTAATGTGACTCATGTCTTCTGCACCCTACAGAGTACAGCCCCAGGGCTTATTCAAGGTCAAGCCCAAATACGTGTCTGTAGGGATGTGTGCAGGCATGTTTCTGTGCCCACATGCTGAGGGCTGTTTTCTCCGATGAGCAAAGGGATGTATCCCAGTGGAGAAGCCTCGGGCTGGATGAACAGCAAATCTGAGAGTTGGGAAGGGGACAAGGGGCTGAGCCCAGGGCACATCTGTGGGGATGGGGAGTGTTGTGCTGGTGGGAGCAGGATGGGAGGAGGCACCAGAAGGAAAGCAGTGGCTCTTCTTACAACTGCAGCCTGTATGGGCTCAGGGATCACTGCAGTCAACTGCCCCATCATCCCTTTCTTCTTCAGCCTTTTGCTCGAGAGAGTTGAGTCAATAAATAAAACAGATGGTAGCTCTTGCAGCAGCACTGCGGGAAGGCACCAGGCTGGTGCTTGCTGCTGTGGAAGGATAGACAGAAGTGGAGCTGTGCAACGGCAGAAGGAGGATGATGACAGCAAATGAGCCTTGGCAGCATGTGAAGTAGCAGAGCTAGCCGGCTAAAGCATCCTACACCCGAACTCTCCACCCTGTTCCTGCATAAAGTCTTTTGAAGCTGGAGATTGGAAAATAAATTCAGTTAGATAGGGACTATTTCTCTTTCTCAATGTTGTACGGCATTAGACTGATGTGGAACTTGAAGTTAGAGAAACAACAAAATTTGATGCAGGTTTTTTTACTCTCATCAAGTCAAAAGATGGAGGGCTCCGTGGGCTTCTATTAAGGACAAGACCGCAGGGAGGCTGTCAGTTGTGATGGCTAGAAAGACCCCACAGCAAGGGGGAAATTCTCCCATATGCTGCTGCCTCTGCTTTTAACAGTCAGGTGTGACACCAGGAAAAAAAAAAAAAAAGCACTATCAGAATTAATGCTTTTCCCCGTACAGGAGATAGAAGAGTCCAGCACAGCTCGGGACAGAGCTGGTGCTACTGATGCCTGCATCGTTAGACCGGGACTGAATGCCAGCAGTGTGAGTCCGGCTCTTTCTGGGGATGAATGCTCAGTGCTTTCAACCTGCAGCTTGTGAAGATTCTTGCACGTGCACAGTTAATTTGCTGGGTTATAGGCTGCAAACTGCCCTTCCCTCAGTCTTGGTCTTATGTTGCATCTTTCCTGCAAACAGACCTCCTGGGAGCTTAGACCAGAAAAACTGTATGAGTGTTCTAAGTAAAAACCAGTGCAAAGAAATCTTGCGAACTGGATAAAAGTCTAAAGCAGGAATACACCTGCAAGAAGATGCACTGTAAGGTCAGGACACAACAGACAGGAGTGTGGACCATAAGTCCAACTGGTACTGGTTGTGCAGAGCCACTGATAGGTTTACCAGCCTGAACCCAAAGCAGAGTTATTTGCTTCCTTCTCCCTCTCAAAAGGCAGCAGCTCTGCATTTTGATGGTTGAAAATTTTTATGTTTCCAGCCCAAATGCTGAGCCAGCCAGCTTCTTCCCAGAGAAAGGAGGCTGATTTCTGTTAGCAGCACCAGAAAGACGGTGCTGTGGCAACAAGGAAATCAATCTTGTTTCTCACATTGCTCTGTTCCCTTGGTAATGTCACTGTAACATCAATTTTCAGTTCCCCTGTCTGTAACTCCAGGAATATTGCATCAGGATGTAATTGCTAAGAAAAAGCCTGGGACAAAGCTTGAAAAATTGAATACTGGGAGAAGAACTGAGGTTCCCAGGAAGTATGCTAGGAAGCCACTGTTTTTGAAACTGTGACTCCTAAACTTATCAACGTTGATCTGATAACATAGTCAAAAGACACTGAAATATTCTCCTATCAATAATAAATCTCCTAAGCCAGAAAGGCTCAGATGAGCTGAAGCTCAGGATGGATTTACTTTGTGTAATCCGTGAATCAAATCCCCAAGCAACATCTCTCTTTCCTGACCTCTTCCAGGCTCCCGTGGAAGGAATTGCAATCCTACATCAATTCCCATTTTCCTCTGGGCTGCAGAGGATGTCTGTTGTTTCGCAGAAGATCGGAGAGGAGCAGTACGACCTGTACATGAAAGGAGCACCAGAAACAGTGTCCAGCTTTTGCAGACAAGAAACCGGTATGGATGTGGGGGAGGGCACCTTTCTAGCATTTATTAGAACTTAATCCAAAGCAGACCTTGAACTGTAATCCTAAAAGATTTGCAGCACTCACTCTGCAACTGCATGTATACGATTCCTCCTACAAACAATCTTGGGCTTGTGCAGAAGTAAAGTGTCATTAGTTAAAAGCACAAATAAGCTTTCGTTGCTTATTTGTTTTTTATTTGCTTATTGTGCATGTTGGGATGCACACAGCCCAGCAGGTAGAGAGATGCACAGCCTGTGGTTCAGCTGCACTTCATCACTTAGCTGATGTGCATCAGCTGAAGATACAGCTTGTAAATAATGCTGATATGTCAAAATACTCAGGATAGGTGTGGGATGGTGGTAATTGCATGTGTCACAGCCACTCTGTTGTGCTGCATGAGTTCTTAAATTTTCTGTTAATTTATTGACCTGTAAATTCAGTATTTATTTACTGACCCAGCTCACATAGGCTTTAAATCTCAGCAATGGGAAACTTGCTGTGGACATACAAATTACTGTTATTAAGGATAATTGCTATTAACACTCGAGCCAAGGCTTCTGTCCTCTCTCTGCAAGTAAACATCAGCTTTTCTTTTCTGTGTGAGAGCAATATAATAGGCCTGTTCTCAAATTTGCCTGCAAACTTGAAACCGAGGTCACATTTGCTGAGCGTTTTGGAAGGGTGCCAGCTGTGCAGGAGCAGCGGTCTGTGTCTCTGTGGTTTGTTATTTGAGATGGCAATGACCTGAGAACAGGTGAAAATGGTTTTGAGGGACAATGGAAAGGTTTAGTTTAAAGACCTCATGACACAAACCGCCAAACAATTCCGCGTCAGTAAGAAAAATATCTTTTAAAAAGTTGTTCCACTTTCTCAGGTTTCTAAATGGCTCCTCTCATTTGGTCTTGATTGTTTCTCTATTGATTACAGCTTAATAAATAATAGGGTTCCACATTGTAAAGCTATGATGGCAGTATGTTGTGATTACAAAATACTGTGAAGTTAAAAGGAACCCTTTGTTTTTAGAGTCACTGGAACAATCAGAATTGAAAATTCAGGATATGGGAGAATTTTCCCATTAAGGCATAAACATAAAAACAACTTTCTGAGCATTACTCAGCACACACACAGAAAAGATCAGGCCAGAGCTATGGAAACACTCATTTGTTCTCTGCTGGGTGATGCACTGTGCATAACTGCACCTTAACATGCATTTTAAAAGTATGAAATCGATGCATGGATCAGTCAGTTGCACAGCCATTGTACAAACCAACTCACCTGTATGAGAGGGCACGGTGTTGAAAGGCTATTGAAAGGCTATAAAGTATGTTACACAGACTTTAACCACAGAGGAGCAATCAGCAATGATGGAGCATTCTAACTATATAACTTTCTATCCTGTAAACAGTCCCATCTGATTTCTTGGAGGAGCTTAAGACATACACAAGCCAAGGCTTCAGAGTCATTGCCCTGGCTCATAAAGTGCTGAGCCTCCCAGAGGATGTAGATGTGGGTGACCTGGAGAGGTAAGCAGAGCTGAAGAGCTGTGAGCATCGCTGTGGGATCACTTCTCTCCCTGTTGGTTAGGCCTACCCAGCTCAGCCCTTCCCCTCCTCTCCTGCCCAAAGATGTGCATGGGGAAGCTGAACCCCATCACACCTTCCTCTCAGCAGATGCTGATTATGCTGTTAATTGCCTTGCAATTAACTACTGCTCTTGCAAGGCTCACTGAGCTGAATCTTTCAAGCTGGTAATTGTGCTTCAAAAGGGTCGTGGATTAGGACTGTGATAGAAAGCTATGCTGATGTGTGTTTCAGCCAGCCTGAGCCTGCCACTCTCTGCATTTACCTCGGCTGTGCAGGTCCTTCTAGGAGACAGCATAGCAAGGACTAGCAGCTGAAACGTGGACACTTGTTGAGCAGTGCAAGCTCATGCCAGTCATGTTTCATGTTAGAGTGAACATGTTTCCAGCTAAGCATGGCTTTGCCAGCAGTACAACCACTGGAGAGCCTTGTTCCCAGGAAGCACAACCATGTTTCTTTCCTTCTCCCAAGAGAGGAGGTGGAGTCTGGGCTGGAGTTTCTGGGCCTCCTGGTGATGGAGAACCGTCTGAAACCAGAGACAAAGCCTGTGCTGCAAGAGCTGGCTGCTGCCCGCATCAGGAGCATCATGGTCACAGGTGAAGCCCCTGCAGCCATGGCAGATGGCAGCAGCTCGCTCCTACAGCAGCCCCATGATGGAGGGCTTGGGGAGCCAACCTCTCTGGTACCATTGGCAGGGGACAACCTTCAGACAGCAGTCACGGTGGCCAGGAGTGCGGATATGATTCATGAGGCCAGCAAAGTCATAATCGTTGAAGCCAGTGAACCAGAGGGCTCTGCTCCAGCTTCCATTGCCTGGCGGCTGGCAGAAGGCAGCAAAACAAGTGCAGCTGCTCCCAGCGTGAGCACAGCCAAGGGAAGGCTATTGGGTGCCAGGGTGAATTAGCAAAGCATTGATGTCTAATAGCTGTTTTTTAGGTTTGGGCTCTCACTACAGATTTTGAAGCAACCCAGAGGAGCATTGGGTGGGTTCCTATCTAGCCAGGGTATACAGAGTGAATCATCCATCTGCAAGGAAAAAATAACTAATACAGACGCTTTTTACTCAGGACTGCATATATAACTGGCAATGCTCTGCAGATCTCATGCTTGATGTGTACCTAATTAATGCATTTAGAAATACTTGTTTGGTCCAGCAAGTGTTCTCACAGACTTCAGTGTGTAAATGAGCCAGCTATGCCTAACAGGTATGAGTGACGCATCAGAACATAGCTAGAAAAATCCAGCATTGCCAGGGCTGAAGCCCAGGAAAGGCTGCTACACACCAGCCTCTTTCATGGGAGGCTGAAATATGGTGTGGGTCCATGGAAGAGATGGACGCAAAGTAGAAGGGAACATTCTGCCCAGTGGCAGGCAAGCTGCCCTGGCTGAGAACTGGCGGCTGCCTGTCAACTCTAGAGATGGGTCTGTCCTGGGAACAAGTCTTCAAAGTCTCATGACCTTCAGTCTGAGGATAAATGCTGTCTTGTCTCTAGGAGGTGTGTGCCAACACCCAGGAAAAGATCCTCCAGGAGGGAGAAAGCTGCCACTACCATTTTGCAATGAATGGGAAGTCCTACCAGGTTCTTGTAAAGCACTTCTACAGCTTGCTGCCAAAAGTAAGTGCAGAGGAAACAAAGAAATTACTCATCCCCCCTCCCCCCCCGACTTTATGTAAGTGACAGTATTGTTCCAGCTGGGGAAAGGTGTCAGTACCCGAAGTGCTGACACTTCTGACAACTCAGAAGCCTCTAGCACAGTTCAGGGTTAGACCAAGCAGCTTGCTGTCAGCATCTGAGACACCTTGGGTGACCAAGGCAGCTGAGGTGTGCAAAGAGCATGACATGGTGGAATGACTCTGTGGTCACCTCCTCCACTTCAATTTAATTAAAAACAGCAGCCCCATTCCCACCTACTACTACTACCAGAACTAGCAACGTCTTCTGCTCAGCAGTGACAGAAGCAGCATGAAATATCTGAATTTAGCAGCAGAAACCTTCAGCTCCTGTCACCCTCCCACAAAATAGCTGCTGCTGGGAGAAAGATTTCTCTGGACAGAACTTTATGTTGGAAATACCTTGATGTGAGCAGCATTATTGCCACTGTCACCAGCAGCACCATCTGTGCTGCAACAGGGAATGGCATGGGACACCTTATTGCTCCAAGGCTGCTGCAGAGCACGTGGTGATGCTGGTCTGCCACAGAGAGGCAAGACAGAAACCAGAGTAGGATGAAGTTGACTTAAGGTGAAATCTGATCCTAAGGGCAATTAAACCACTGTTGGGGCTGGGAGACAGCATTAGAGGTTTGTGCCATCAGGGATCCTGACCCTGCCTCCATGGAGCATGAACACCCACCTCAAGGCTGTCCCTTGCTCTGTCCCGCAGATTCTTCTGAATGCAACTGTCTTTGCTAGGATGTCTCCTGGCCAGAAATCCAGCCTTGTTGAAGAGCTTCAGAAACTCGAGTAAGATCCTGTTCCCTTTCTTCTTGAACCCAAGCAAAGAAAGGTGCAACCAGCTCCACCAGACCCTGCTCCCACCTGCTGTGGCTGCATTGAAGGCTCTGTGAAATGGAGCTGAGATAAAAAAAAAAAATAATCACAAACAGACTCCAACATACAAAGACCATCCTTCCCCCCCAAATTTTCACTCCTTTCATTACTTTTCTCCCTCCTTTCCCTCCACCAGTTACTACGTGGGTATGTGTGGTGATGGAGCCAACGACTGTGGGGTACGTAGGAGCAAATCCCCCACTCTCCTTCATATCACTTCTTTCAACCTATGGGGTAAAGGGGTGAGATATCGCCTGGCACTCCATGTCACAAGCACTTCCCAAGTTAGCCCCTACGTATGCTCAGTCAGAATGCTGTTATAAAACACTACCTATGTGCATATTTCCCCTAGAAATAAGAACAGATACACTTCTTACATATTTGGTCAAATGCAAATCTGAGGACCTTAATGATCAAAATCATCACTATGTTGTCTATTACACTGCTACAATAAATGTGTTATTATAATATAGTTTTGTAACAGCATTAGCTGGTTTGATGTAAGCTATCTATAACCTGTTCCTCAGTGCTAGGCCAGAGGGGACAGCTGGCTCACATGGACCTCATAAGACAGGAATAAAAGAAATATGATCAGGAGATGGAAAGGAGTGGAATGAGAACATGCTAATTTAAAGTTTGGCAGTTGTTCAACAGGAGAGGTATGCACAAACCCCAACAGGGTTTGTGGGAGACAGAGCAGGGTAGTTCAGAGAGCTGTAAATAGGCACAATGGGATTAAATGAACAAAAGAAATATTTAAGCTCTAGAGGAGGAAAGATATCTGAAAAATGAGATCAGCTGGGCCATAGAATAAGGGAACATCAATGACAAAGCATGCTTGAATTAAAACATGTAAAGTACTACTAAATACAATGGGAGGGGTGGATGGGTGCCTCTCCAGCCTCCTTCTCTTGTGCATTTCAGGCTTTGAAGATGGCCCACGCTGGGATATCGCTGTCTGAGCAGGAGGCATCGGTGGCCTCGCCTTTCACCTCACAGATCCCCAACATCCAGTGTGTGCCAGAGTTGATCAGGTTGGTTTGCTGCTTCCCTGCGTTGGGCTCATGGCAATGCCTGCACCAAGCTCAGTGTGTGGGATCATGAGTGGGAGCTGCACAGCAGTGCACAGGCATCCTGGGGAGCTTGGCAAAGGAAATAGGTTGTTTATGTTTGTATGGCTGCACACATATACATATGTTTATGGATAGCTGTGTGCACATGCTACCCTCAAATATGCTGATAAATCAAACTTAATTTCTCAGTAACTACATAAAATCCATAAGTTCCAGAGTGTTGTGCATAGGAACTGATACGTCTGAAATAGGTAGGACAAGAGGGAACGGCTTCAATTTGTGCCAGGGGAGGTTCAGGTTAGATAATAGGAAAGACTTCTCAGAAAGAGTGGCTGGGCACTGGCACAGGCTTCCCAAGGAGATGGTGGGGTCACCATTTCTGGAGGTGTTCAAGAACTGTGGAGATGTGACACTGAGGCCATGGTCAGTGGGCATGCTGGGATGGGTTGGGGTCAGACTACATGATCCTAGTTGTCTTTTCCAACCTTAATAATTCTATGACTGCAGGTACAGAAGTACAGTTCCATGAAAAGGCAGGTATAACAGTTAACAGAACAGATTTGCTTGTTAGTACTTACAAATTTCATATCCAAATGTAGTCATTAAACAGCCAGGAATAATGCCATTTAGCCAAATGTATGCAAAGACGATTTTGTGTGGCAGTGCACTTGATTCCCAGAACTGCTGAGCAAATCTGCAAAGAAAAAACAACAGCAGCTTAAGCCAGGTATTAAAATCGTAGCAGCAGAATAAACATGAGGAAACAAAACACTGCAGATGAGGGGTAGCTAAGTGGCTCTGCAATATCTTAAGGCCAAAATACATCTATGGAATTTAAACTATTTTCCATTCTTCTTTAAGACTCTTAACCAAAGGATTTACTCTGCTTAGAAGCAGTAGCAACCTGCAGCACTATAGCATCAGGATGGCACAACATCTGCTGTGGTAAGGGGGCAGTTTCAGCTTTGTTTTGTGTTTTGAGCAGGGAAGGTCGAGCTGCTTTGGTGGCTTCCTTTGCTGTGGTTAAATACCTCACCCTGTATGGCCTGATACAGTTTGTTGGCACTGCTCTGCTGTTCTGGGTAAGTGTATAATGCCCACCTCTCACTGGCAAGCTGTGCTCACGTGGGCTTTTGTCTTTAGTTGTATTACTCAATAGGGACGAAACAGCATATAGGTCTTCAGGGAATAACAAACACGTGAAAAGCTGGATAACCTATTAAATGATTATTCTGTTAAGCATTTCAGTTAATATCAGGATAGTTGAATCAAACAACAATGACATAACCCTGCTTCAGCAGCCATTAATTTGGGTGCACCAACCATGTCTGTGTCCTCACTACTCACATAAGTTTAAAGCTTGGCACAATGTGGAACTCTGGCCGTGCCTGTCATTACCAGGGGCTACAAGTGACCTGGGTGCTCTATAGGGAATGGTGTCTGCTGGGATAAGGGTGGAAAAACATTCACCTGCCACTGGGTCACTCACAAGCGTTCTGAGTTGTAAGAAGCTGGGTGGAACTTACCTGGGCTCACTCTGCACCTATGGGTGCATCCAGATGCTGCTGCTCTGAGATAGTATGGGGCTGTGTTTTGTATTCCCCAAACAGATGTTGGTAGTCAGGTGGTGCTTTCCTTCTTTGTTTCAGCAGCTGCAAATCTTTGGGAATTACCAGTATCTGATTCAAGACATGGTCATTACCCTCCTGGTCTGCCTAACAAGTAAGCATTGTGGGAAAACCCTTGTGCTTGTTTGAAGGCATGAGTGTAAGTAGTCAACTTAATTTCCGAGTAAAGATTAAAGCAAGGAGCCAAGTTCTGCCATCAATAACTGTAACCACCGATAGCAGAACAATCCCTTGGCTGCAAACTACAAATCTCTCTGCTTTCTCTCCAGTGAGCCTGACCGAAGCCTACCCAAAGCTAGCAACCTATCGCCCTCCTGGCCAACTCATCTCCCCCCCTTTGCTGCTTTCTGTTGTCCTCAACGTGTGCTTTACTATAGCCATGCAGACCTGTGGCTTCCTCCTGGTAAAGAAGCAGCCCTGGTATGTAGCGCTGGCCAGCTGGAGGTGAGTCCCTCTCCTCACCAGGACCCCCAGAACACAGCTCTGGTTATGGGGTACACTGCAGCTGTCAGCAAGACCAGACCACCAACATGTGGACATGCCACAGAGCCAGCATTTCTGGAGCAGTATGCAAGAAACTGGGCCTGCTCCTCATTGCTGTACCTTGAGTATTGCTGTGGCTGCCTAGCTGGGGGCTGAGATGTGGCACACAGCAACAGTTAAGCAGCTTTCTAGGAAATATATTGTAATGTGTTAGAAAGCATAACAGCAAAGTCCTAGGCTGTAGCAGGTGAGGAGCTGCTCAAACGTGGCAGCTGTGGGTACAGAAACAAAACAAAGAACCTCCTTACCTTTAGAAGACCTCAGGTAGGCAGGGATCTCGAGCAAGATCCTCTTGCCTCCACTGCCAACCCTTAAATGAGGTCTGGGAAGGGTTGCATCCTGGCTCCATCCCTTCTGGCCACCCAGGTGCACTCAATACACCTGAGCTCCTTGGGTTGGCCCTGCCTTCCCACCAGGTGCTCAGTCATTGCTTCAAGCTGTGACTTTCAGCTACGTATATGTATACATAATATCTATTCACTGTGTTTTTTATTGCTGTGGTTAGATTGCTGTGGATATCTGGTTACTGTGGGTAGGAAAGGAGAAGGGGTTGCTGTTGCAGCTCACTCTTGCAGAAGGCAGGGACAAGATGCTGATTGTCACTTTGCAGACACTGTTCACTCAGGAACCACACCTTGCCCCCCACTGGCCCAGAGGAGAACAGTACCAGCAGCAGTGCCCAGAGCACCGTCCTCAGCTACGAAGGAACAACGTTGTGGCCGCTGTCCTCCATCAACTGCATCATTGTGGCCTTTGTCTTTTCCAAGGGAAAGCCCTTCCGCAAGCCTATCTACACCAATTGTGAGTAGAGCTGGAACACACGTGCTCTGTACACTTCCCTTCCTGCCCCAAAATCTTCCTGGCAGGAGAGAAGGCAAAGGATGATGTAGCTTTTTCTGTACCCACACCAGTGACTGGCACGTGATGTAACTGTTGTGTATGTGAGCTCCTGCTTCCCTTCTTAAAGTATCTCAGTGAACACTGCCTACGTTACTTTCCCTCTAGCAAAAAGGAGAAGCAGAGCTGAAAAAGAAGACTGTGTTTTGGAAAATAGATGCTTTCCAGAAGATGATGTACTGCATTTAGTGCAGAACTGTGTATTACTGAGAACACAGTGTGCAAGGATCAGACGTATTTGTTTCAAAATCCACACATCAAATAGAGTTCCTTTGAGATTCAGTTTTACCTTGCCTGACTTCCATTCCTAGAGATGAGAGAGAAAAGCCTGTGATAATATCACTGTTAAAATCCTCTCACAATAACCTTTCCTTCTCTATTTGAGATTTGCAGAGATGATTTACCCCTACCAGCCTCCAGCTGACTGATAGCTTCTTTGAAATTGCAGCTTTTTACTCATGGATGAGAGAGCAGGATCTTGCTTAACCTTAGAAGAGCTGATTTCATTAGACTTTTTGGCAATAGGCTGGTCCCAAACTCATTTCACAGAGCCCTGATGGCCTGCAGAAGAGAGGGGACATCAGAAGGAATCTGCTCTGCAATGCCAAATCACCTGGGTGAGAGAAGAAGTGTAGGTTGGGAGGTTTGCAACAGACCTCTAGGGAATAGCTCAGCTAGGTTTCAATCCCATAGGTCTTCTAGGCACAGCACCCCACCAAACAAACAACACCAAAAATGTACAGGCTAGCAGCAATACAGCACTAGTGTTTGGGTCTGCCTTGAGTGTACCTGAAGAGTCCACCCACCAAAGCCCCTTTCCCAGGGCCACTCATGCTCTTGTTTCCTCAGATGTATTTTCAGCCATCCTGATCCTCCAGCTTGCCATCTGCCTCTTCCTCTTCCTCGCTGACATGGATGCTGTGTACAGTGGCATGCAGGTAAGTGAAGACAAAACATGCATTTATTTTTTGTTTTGCTGGACCTTTACCTATGCACACAGAGCACAAGCTACAGGTATGGCCACGCTGGAAATGAACTCACTGGTTTGATGTTGCCTGGGCATCTCTTTCAAATTTCTCTATCATCCATTCAATAAGGACTTGATTAATGAGGCAGCCCTCCCCTCCAGACTGCAATGGGCAGAAGAAAAAGCGCTTTGTATCTTGCTGAGCTGTTCTTCCTAACAAAAAAAACACAACAGCACAGAGCGTGGGTTTGCATGTAGGAGGCTGCAGCTCTCTGGAATATTTGAGCTCTGAATGCTGAGCTGCTGGTATCAGTCACAGGGTCAGTGGTGATGTGAGGCAGCTGCATGCTGTGGGGAATCTGGCATCAGCCCCTCCAAATCTCTGTGACAAGGAATTACTGTCACTGCCTACGGACTTCTCCATGCTTGCCATCGAGAAAGTATTAGTCAGCCTCTCCAGTCATTAGGAACAGATGCAAATCTTGGCAAGGCACTCAAACATAATTGCTTCTCCTGTCTTTTCCAACAGTTTCTTTGCACTCCTGTGATCTGGAGAGTTTATGTCCTACTGATGCTCCTAGTCACCTTCTGTGTATCTTTTTTTACAGAGGTGAGTGCATTCATTTACTGTCTGTTCCCAGCAGTGAGAGGCATCTGTTCAGGACTTTCTTCCTCTGTTTGCAGCCACGTTCTTCCTACAGAAGGACAAACCCTTTTTTTCATTTTTCCTCCTTTTTTTCCTTATTAGCCACTGTGTGTCAATCAAATCTACCTGATAGAGCACCAGAGATGACTTAGCCCACATGCCTTAAGCTTGTAGTGTGTGAGCACTGCCACACATCTGACACAAATGATGCTTTGTGGGCCCGAGATGATTGTGCCACCCTGGGTGGGAGCATGGAGTTGCATCCAGTGGCAGGTATTGTTGCCTGCAAGGCAGCAAGTGTGCAGGTGTCCCTCACAACAAGAGCAAAGTGCAATATCTGTACCACTGAAAAGGATTGCTGTGGCTCATACAGGGAGTTGAATGTATATGGGCTGGCACGTGTCACAGGGTCTGGCTTCGGTCTCCTCCCACTAATGCTGTGCTGTATCACTCCTCAGGATGTTCTCCTGCAGAACAAGCACCTCTGGATGCTGATTAAAGCCTGTGTTGGGTATCAGTCAAAAAGCCAGTACCGAAAGTGGCAGCGGATGCTGCAAAGGGATCCAAACTGGCCTCCCGTGAACACCAAGGACTTTGAAGCAAGAAGCACAGCTGAGGTTTACATTAACCCCAGCTATGAGCACAGGGACTAGGCGAGAGCCTGCAGCTGGGCACAGGGCTGCCTTGTCCCCGCTGACTGGTCTGCTTGCATCGCTCCACAAGTGCCAGGCTTGGATTTCTGTGCTCGCTGAACAAACCCCTCCATTCAGAGGCAAGCTGGCTGTGTCCTGGAATAGGGGCGAGGATTATTCTTTCTCTTGCTGCTAAAATAACAGCTTTGACTCTACACCATGGCAACGGTAGCTCTCGAGCCTTGCTAGCACCTCCTACAAAGGCTCAACAACTCTGAGCACAGCAAAACTATGATTGCTGCTACTCCAGCACTTAAGACACTGCTCCACTAAACCCTGTCACTGCACCCCTGGGGCTTGATGACCCAATTAGTGACCTAACCTTGACTGCACCAAGGAGCACATGAGCAACTGCAAAATCCTGCATTAAATGAAACTGCAGCTTCCAAGCAAAATTCCACTTACAAAGCAATTCTGGTTTTCTTCTGTTCTGGAGTGAATTACGAATGTGGGAGGGTGCAGTGCTGTCCTTACTTCACCCTCCCTTGCCAGTTTTTGCAGACACAATGTGCTGAGCACAGGGAAGATTTCAGCTCAAGCATTGCAGCAGGCTGGAGCCGGGCTGCGATGCACCCAGGGAATGAATAGCTGCCTCCTTACCCAAATTTAGTTCTATCTTTGGTGCCACGTGGCTCTGTTGCTTTCAGGGCACACTGGGTGGAAAGTTGCACAGAACTGTTTGCTTTACCCAAGTCACGCCACAAAGCAGAGGTTAATGTGCACCACTGCTCTTCAGTTGCATCGTTCAGGAAGCTGAGCCAGGCTGCTTGTTCTCATCCTCATATTAATCAGACACTTCCTAAGTTTAGTCTTGAAAAAACTTCTGGCTATATTTACAGGAAAACAGTACAGGGCTTCTAGGTTCTGTTACTAAGAGCCCAGTTTTATTTTAATACATTTCCCATGTTAAGAAACAAACAAACAAAACAAGCAACAATATTATTTCATTGTATTAACTACAAAATATGTCCAGAAGGCTTGGCTTTGTTATTTCAAACACTGAAACAACCGTTGTTTAAAAAAAGCTTCTGGTCCAGTTATATACACGGTGAGAGCAGACAAAAATAGCAAGCTGCTTACTGACAGCTCTTGCTCCCATCTCTTCTTACAGTCCAGAGAGCTGCATGTGGTGAAGGCACAGTTAAATTTCATTTCCTATATGCAACCTGCAAAAAAATACAGTTCCAAATATGCAAGCTAAATACTCTCAGTGAAGAGTAATAAAGCACTCTTCCACTCAATATCTTTCTCCTAGGAAGAGCTGCACGCCATCTTTGTGGCTGGAAACAGTAAGACTCTGTAGGCATGGAGATGTTACACAGCTCAGCCTCCAAGCGGGGACCTGGGCAGTGCTGTCCTGCTGGTTAGGAGAAGACTTGTGCTGGAACAAGGGTCTGTCATGCTGGTCAGTGCAATGGGCCCAGCACCAGGCACAGAGACCACCCTGAGGTGCCCAGGGACTTTTCTTTATATTCATGGAACCATAGAATCATTATGGTTGGAAAAGACCTCTATCATCATCTATCTAGTCCTGCACGGGCCTCTACAGGAGCGCTGCTGCATTACTTCTGGTAAGGAGAAAAAAAAAAGGTTAAAAACAGAAGTAAAAAAGTGCTCCTTCACACAGGTTAGGAAAGGTTATTCATAGAAAGCCCACAGGATGCAGTCTGTAAAAACAGCTTATGTGCCAAAAGCCCTCAGCAGATCCCTGAGGCGCGAGGATAATTTGCTCGTAAGCGCTGCCAGACATTGCTGGCGATGCCATGACAGCAGCTGTAGCAAACAGACTGGGGCTGTCCTCTGAGAGAGGAACTGCTGGGAGTAAGGACACGAACCACCTTGTGTCGCCGGCAGCTCCTGCCTGGCATCTCCTGCCTGGTGGGCTCTCAATACTGCCTCTCTCGGCTTCGGCTCCGCAACAGGCCCAGCAGGGAGAAGGCACCTGCAGCCGCCGTCACAAACCCAATGGCACTGATGGCTCGGTTGGCCTGCAGAGGGGGAGCAAAACACAGGCACATGAATGAAGAGCAGGTAGAGCTAATCAGGGCAGTGAAATGAATAAGTGATCCCATGCCCTCACCCTTAGGC